TATATGTATGTATGTATTCTACATTCATATTCATCGGTTGGCCATGATGTTTTCTTATCTTGAAAATGGCATTAGCGAAAATACAACAATGCTCGCCTTATTCGTTGTGTATATGATTTATCCCATTGGAAAATCTCAAAATTCTCACAATTGTCACAAAAGAAAAATCGCCGGGAAAAGAAGTGAATCGACAACGATAGAGAGTAAGAGAATTGAAATAGATATAAATAATGCGTATCGCAAAAAAGAAACGTACCAAATGAATCAATGGTGTTTTGTTGGCGAATGGCAAAAACGAAATCAAGATTAATTTGAAGAAAATTAAAGATATACGTTTGAATTGTTTGCTACGTTTTGCAATCGAATTGAATCTGGTAAGAAAAAGTAAGTTGCAGCCAATATAAATTCCTTGGAATATTTTGAATTCGTCGTGCATGCGATTGAGATCATTTGACTAGACATGAATCAAAATATGCGAAAAGGCGATGCAGTGCATTGATGCACTGAAAATCTAATATATATAAATGTTCAACATACACCGATGCTTGAAATGAAAGTAACAACACTTGAATTTAAAAGGAAATTAAATGCCATATAAAATGTAACGAAACGTCACAATCGATTGACACACAATCTTTCAATCACACTCTCGCACGTCCGAGACACGATTGGCCAATTCAATTTATTCAATATTGTGCCAAGGAGAATTCATGCCGAGCAAACAGATAAAACACAGAGAAGAAGGGAAAGGTGGCCAGCAATATAGAATGGCTGCAACTCATTTGTACACGACCACGTCAACATTATACATCATTTGACTTGAAATACGGAAATAGATTAGGATTTTTCTTCTATTCCTTTCGATTAGAGTGTGTATCTTCAGATGAAACAACATGACTCCGATCGCATTTGTTTTGTTCGATTCGCAGGGAGACGTCGATAGCCATTTTTTTTAACATGTTCACGTTTTTGTATGCTGATGTGTTGCTGAAGAGTATTTCATGAAAATACATAACACAAACAACGAACGTTTCCATTGTATAATTAAAAAAAATATGGTGATTCTGTTTGTAATGGAAATAAATCTAATAACGACGATGATGATGATGATGATACAATGATATCGCATATTATCTGAGGCTTCTGTGAATAATAATTACATCTAATTAGGAACAATGCTTTCAATCCATCTACACTAACATTCATTTAACCTAATTATAACGTTGAAATGACATGAAACAGAGCTTATTCGGATATATGTTCACGCAACAGTTTTGTGTATTGTTATTGTTCTTGTCATAATTTCGTATAAAGAAACTTCTTCGTTGTTCTGGACAATATGCGTCAAATCAAAAATTATGATTGCATTTAATCGCAATCCCACAATGGCATTAATCAGACATTATATTTAGATATTTTCGGGCAACTAATTCAGCTCAGGCTTAGTAATATCAGGCGCTGAAATAGAGTGATTTATAACCATGAAAATCAATTCTATTATTTTTACTTCATTTCAGTGCCTGACGTTAGTTCGAGTTTAATCAGCTGCCTGAAAGTATCTCAATATAATTTGTCTGGACTTTATATGATTAGAGTTTTTTTTTGCGTCTATGATATAAGTAGATCTATTGCATCCAGATGTGAGTAAGGGAGAAAGATAAAAAGAACAAAGACATTAAGATAACGGGAGCAACATAACATGGACAGGAAATGCATATGGAATATGTGTTTAGTCGATTAAAAGAGCGTAAAAATCACGTATCAAGCGAATGAGATAGCTAAAATAAACAAACTGACAAGCAATCAAATTCAATTAAATTTTCATCAACAACAAATCAATGCTTTAAAAATAGCTACCACTTCAAATCTACTAGAAAAACACGGTTTAAGGTCGCTTCATTCAACAAAATTGAAACAAACAAATAAAAACGTTAAAAAAACGCAAGAGAATAGTATTTTTGTACTTGGAAAGGTATAAAATATGCACAAAATTCAATCGATTCAAAATAATTCGGTTCAATCCATTTAATATAATTTCATGATTTGCCAATTTTTGTGAACTTTGCTCCCCCTGCAACATTCTTCGAGTTAATTTCTATCTACTTTTTAGTTTTTTTTAAATTTGAATTATACTTTTTCTTTTAAATTCCATTGATTAATGTGTTTATTATATTTAGATTAAATCCTTAGTCTTGTTAAGTGGATTTTTTTTTGGTTTTAAGAAGGTAAATAAGATGAAATGATTAGTATCAATTTAAAAAGGATTCGTTAAAATATAGAAAAAATATCACATTTAGAAGAAAAACATGCATTTAATTAATTGGTAATTTTGTTCAATTTTTATACGAGATATCTTTTTCCATTATTTCTTACAATGATAGTGTATGCGGAGCACGTGAAATGTGATTGCGCGCATTTGTGTGCATTGGAATGACATGGAAAACCATTTGCCTTGTTCAATGAATGCTTTTTAGCGAAAATTCGAACAAGCAATTTTATCATTGAAAACTCACATTACATTGAATATAATTTGCCAGAATGCACACAGACACACCTACATACGAAAAATGAAATTAAAATTGTTCGAAAAAAAAAAGTTAAATTTGTATACATCCAAATTTTCTCAGTTCGTTCGTTAATTTAAATGAAACCAATTCCGTTAAAAAACATGTTTGCGCGCTTAGGTACACATATAATCGTATGGGTTGTTGGGCTGAAACTTTAAGTGAATAAGAAAGAGCATGGAAGAGAAGAGATGGGTATGGATTTAAAAAAAAGCATCAAGCTTTATAATTCCATTCAAAATAATTTCGCGAACGCACTTCAAAAGCAAACATTTCGGCATGATTTCGAAATGTAGACCACACAATTTATATATGCACGCTGAACACCAGTATTTCTACTTTAAATGCCTCGTATCAATTGAATATATACATTACACACAATACGTTATTATGTTCGGCACAAGTATTTCGATGTAAATGCGTGTATGCGAAAAATAAATAGAATTTTGGCTTTTCAATTGGAATCGAGTGTATTATATATATATCGGTATGTTTGGTATGTGTAGA